ATCAAACATTCTGCTTTGCTTCATCGAGGAAGTGGCAAGGAAGTAAAAGTACTAGGTCAGCTTTTCCTTTGTGCTAGGGGAGTAACAGCGTGGGGTGCTGTGGCGTCTTCAGATTACTTTTGGCTCTACTGAGAGTGACACTGACGCCAGGATAACCAACAAAGAACGATCTATAAGTTAGTGTGAACAAAGTGTCTCATAAAACACAATAAACACTTAAGAGAAGTGTGATCAGCTTCTTTAGTGATAAGATTGTGAACAATAAAGACAAATCTTGTGGAACATAGTGTACCAGTGTGCGTATTCCTAGACTATGGAAGACGTGGACATCCAAGGACACTTTAGCTTCTATCAAGTCACCGATATCTGTTGAAGGTGTGAAGAACACCATAGCTCACGCTACAAGAGCAAGGTAGGTTACGAATTTCTTGTACGGGGGACTGCGCAGTTCTTGAGTCGCAAGGAGTTTGTAATCAACCTATAGTCGGCAGTTAGGTGCGGACTTTTGAGTCCACACAAGTAAGTTTGTCAGCTATCAGTGAATGAAATATGCTGACATAACACCCCCTAGGGGTAATTTATTGTTTACATAATATGATCTCATTACAGCCCGTTGAGAGATGATAACGACAACAATTCAAGACCTCGTCTGCAGGGGCGGCTGTGTAGACGATTTGCTGTCTTTTATCAGCTAAGTGTTCCCTGTATTTAAATTTAAAATTAAACTTAACTGGTAATCCCATTTCTCAACACCTGGGATGCCACCCACAACAGTCGACTAACATCCAGGTACCTACTTACGTAATCCTATGTAGACAGGGACAGCAGGTATAAGAAAACGTGCCCAACGTTTCACCTGTGCCGGAATCGATCCCTTGACCCTCAGTGTGTGTGAGCTGAGGATGCTGTCGACCAATCTCTGATATCTTTCAGACCTAACTGGTATTGTTAAAGCAAGATAGTGGAAATAAATAGTCTTTCTGATATCTTATGTTGCATTTTGAAGTTTAATTTTATTAATTCTGACCATATTTACATATACATGTACTGTACACGTAAAGAACAACACGTCAGACTACCCGGACACAGGAGAAAGATACGATTATGACCACTACTTCCACTACCTCTTCCAGCATTACCACTACTACTACTACTACTAGCAGCATTATCACTACCACTACCACTACTTCCACTACCTCTTCCAGCATTACCACTACTACTACTACTACTACTACTACTAGCAGCATTTATCCATACACTACCACTACTTCCACTACCTCTTCCAGCATATCACCACTAACTCTACTACTACTACTACTACTAGCAGCATTATCACTACCACTACTTCTACTACTACTACTACTACTACTAGCAGCATTGCCACTACCACTACCACTACTTCTACTACTACTACTACTAGCAGCATTAACACTACCATACTTCTACTTTACATACTATACTAGCAGCATTGCACTACCACACAATACTGCTACTACTACTTACTACTACTACTAGCAGCATTATTCACTACCACTACTTCTACTACTACTACTACGCACATTGCCACATCCACACTGCACTACCAACTACTACTACTACTACTAGCAGCATTACCACTACCACTACCACTACTTCTAAACTATATCTCACACTAAGCAGCATTGCCACTACCACTACTGCTACTACTACTACCACTAGCAGCATTATCACTACCACTACCGCTACTTCTACTACTACTAGCAGCATTATCACTACCACTACTACTACTACTACTAGCAGCATTATCACTACCACTACTTCTACTACTACTGCTACTAGCAGCATTATCACTACCACTACTTCTACTACTACTAGCAGCATTATCACTACCACTACTACTACTACTACTACTAGCGGCATTATCACTACCACTACTTCTACTACTACTACTACTACTACTATACTACATAGCACATTATCACTACCACCTACCACTACTGCACCACTACTACTAGCAGCATTATCACTACCTCACTACTTTCTACTACTACTACCAGCAGCATTATCACTACCACTACTTCTACTACTACTAGCAGCATTATCACTACAACTACCACAACTTCTACTACTACTACTACTACTGCTACTAGCAACATTATTACTACCACAACTTCCACTACTTCTACTACTACCACTACTAGCAGCATTATCACTACCACTACCACTACTTCTACTACTGCTACTACTAGCAGCATTATCACTATCACTACTTCTACTACTACTACTGCTACTAGCAGCAATATCACTACCACAACTTCTACTACTACTACTACTAGCAACATTATCACTTCCACTACTTCTACTACTACTACTACTACTACTAGAGCATTATCACTACACAACTTTTCTACTACCACTAAACTTATACTACTGCTACTACTAGCAGCATTATCACTACCATTATCACTATCACTACTTCTACTACTACTACTGCTACTACTACTTATACTACTGCTGCTGCTGCTACTAGCAGCAATATCACTACCACAACTTCTACTACTACTACTACTAGCAGCATTATCACTACCACTACCACAACTTCTACTACTACTACTACTGCTGCTGCTAGCAACATTATCACTGCCACTACCGCAACTTCTACTACTACTACTACTAGCAGCATTATCACTACCACAACTTCTACTACTACTACTACTACTGCTACTAGCACATTATCACTGCCACTATTTACTACTATGCTACTAACATTATACAACTACCACTTACTTCTACACAACTTCTACTACTACTGCTACTAGAACATTATCATTACCACACTTCTACTACTACTACTGCAACAAATTATCACTACCACTACTCTACTACTCTACTAGCAGCATTATCACTACCACTACTTTCTACTATACTATTACTAATTCTACTACTACTTACTACAGCATTGTCACTACCACTACTCACTATCTACTACACTACACTGCTACTAGCAATATTATCACTACACTACTTCTACTACTACTACTACTACTAGCAGCATTATCACTACCACTACCACAACTTCTACTACTACTACTACTGCTACTAGCAACATTATCACTACCACTACTTCTACTACTACTACTACTTAGCAGCATTATCACTACCACTATCACTACTTCCACTACTACTACTACTACTACTTCTACTACTACTACTAGCAGCATTATCACTACCACTACTTCTACTACTACTAGCACTACCAGCATTACCACTACCACTACTTCTACTACTACTACTACTACTACTACTTCTACTACTACTACTAGCAGCTATTCACTACACTACTTCTACTACTTAACTATCAGCATTATCATACACTACTTTCTACTACACTACCAGCATTACAACATCACTACTTCATTCTACATTCTACTACTAGCAGCATTATATACAGTACCACTACTTCTACTACTACTAGCACTACTACAGCATTATCACTATCACTACTTCTACTACTGCTACTACAACTACCAGCATTACCACTACTTCTTACCCTTCCTCACTTTCCTCCCGTCAGTGTCTCCTCACTTTCTCCGTCATTGTCACTTCATCCACTTTCTCGTATAGTCTTCTACACTTTTCCCGTCCACTGTCCCTTCTCACTTTCTCCCTCACTGTCTTCACTTTCTCCCGTCACTGTCCTCCTCACTTTCCTCCGTCATGTCCACTCCACTCTTCTCTCTACACAGTCCTCCTCACTTTCTCCATACTGTCCTCCACACTTTCTCCCGTCACTGTCCTCCTCACTTTCTCCCGTCACTGTCCTCCTCACTTTCTCCCGTCACTGTCCTCCTCACTTTCTCCCATCACTGTCCTCACCTCACTCTTTCTTTTCTAAAAAAAAAAAATCGTTTCAACACTGACCATAATTTCTGAAGGGATGAACTGGTAAGCCAGTGGAAGGCCTCGGTCAGATGACCAAAAGCTCCAACGACGGGTCATCATCTGACTAAGACCCGAGCCAAGAAACACTTGCCCTTTTTCCTGACGAACCTTACTTAACCTAACCTAACCATATCTCTTCTGTTATTTTGACTCGATAATGGTCCAAGTCGGACCGAAACGTCATCTTAAGCTTCTCTCTCCTATGTGCGAGTTATTTGTGTATTGTGTATGTAGCTCATTTTGTAGTCGTCACACAGTGTATATACACCCAGAAGCGCATCTCCCAATGAATAAATATTAGATGTATATATCTCTCAGTGTATAGACACTCAGCTGGTGTGTAACTCAGTGTAACTTCAAGTATTTTTGATGATAGTGTACTGGTGTAGCCTTAATCAAAATGTTATTATTATTTTGTTTAGATTTGTTTATTAAACTTTAATTTTCAAATATGTAAGTTATACTTCAAATTGTATTTATTTCGATTTCAAAAATTAATTAAAATTGTGGGTTATAGAGAATTAAAAAAAAATTAAAAGACTGGATTATAGTTTGTATCATTTTGAGGACTTTTATTTAACCTAACTCATAAAAAACACATTTAGCTTTATAAATAACTAAAAACTATTTGATGATTAATAAATCTGGCGAGCAATTATGACTGTCTTACATAAAATGTAACATAAAATGTAAATCACTTTTTTTTAAGCTTTTAGTAGATATTTCTTGTATTACCTGAGAAAAAATAAAGTATAAAAAAATGTCCAATAATTGATGTTGAAAACGACGTAAACGACGACATCGTGTTTTAGGTACAACTAATTTGGAAAAATTGTGCAACATAATCTACCGAAGACCTATTTTCTAAAGCTTCAATTAAGATTTTGCAGAAAAAAATATAAAAATGCCTCCAACACAGGATGGTTTTACCTTTAATTAATCACTGGTAGTATACAAGCATTAAACCAAATAAATTAATTTTATTGTTAATGTGTTGGGTGCTGACGATATCTCGTTAGTTTTATCGAAATACCTGTATCTTTTTCTTCAGTTCGTTTATATAAATAATTTTGTTATAGGTAAAAGGTGCTGTGGCATGGTGGACTCCAATGCATTCTGGTCTTTATCCTTTTGGTACCAACACGTGGAGGCTGGGCGCTGATGTTTGTAACATACAAGCTGGACACACTGTAAACCTGACACTGTCAGTATGCGGGTCAGGAATGTTTACCTGCAGCTCTGGGACTTGTATTAGTCTATATAAACGCTGTGACTTGAATGTGGATTGTCCCGACCAGAGTGACGAAGCCGAGTGCTCGCTGGTAGATATACCATCAGGATACAGCATCACTCTTCCTCCACCACCAATTGATCAACAAAACGTTTTGCCTATCTATTTCACAATCAATATCTTATCATTCACCTCTATAAACACAGAAGACCTTGCTATCGTCACCGCATTTGAGCTAAAGATGCGCTGGAAGGATCCCAGACTCAAATATTTAAATCTCAAGGAGGACCGTTCCTTAAATGTTCTTTCAAGTGTGTCCGTGTCTAGAATCTGGACTCCTCAAGTGTTCTTCAGCAATGCCAGAGGCAACGTATTTTCCAACCTAGACCAAGGCTCTAGGGTTGAGTGTATTCAAGAAGGCATGTCAGTGACTGGAGGCCCTCACCTCTCAGAAGAAAGTAAGCTCTCTCTCTCTCTCTCATGTTTATACAATACCTCACTTGGGGATCATGTCACAACTCTGTTGTTGTTGTTTTGAAATATTGTTATTATTATTATTAATGTATAATTTTTATTATTATTCACAAAGGAAAGGTAATTACGGTTTCATAGATTCAAGGTGTAGCAATGACAATAAATTTAAATAAAACTTTATGTATTGAATGATGCTTAATATTAGACTTAATTAATATTAGACAATTTGAATTATTTAATTTTAAGTAGGTTGAGTAAATTTTAGAAAACCTAATGTTACCTAACCTAGGTTACTGCAGCCTAATATAACCTGTTGTAAATAATGTAATCTAACTTAGCCTAACTTAATAAGAAATCAATTTAGAGTGATACTCACATAGTAGCTTTCACAGTTAAGTCGTTAAAGGGTAAATTGGCATGTATGAGTAGAAGATATTACTCCGCCATCGTTTGATTAGCAACTAGACACACGTGTATGTTGCCTGTGATTGGTGGGTCACACCCAACTGATGTGTGATTGGCCCGTTTGTTGTCTAAATATTGAGGCCTGACTGGTCCCTCTGAGGAGCATTCTAGCAAGTATATGCCTTTTTTTTTTTTTACATTATCTACGAAATTAACAATTTACTGGCGTGTATATAACTTGAATTTTAAAAAGTAAAGTAATACTAGTCAAAAATTACTCTAGCTGTAAATTACCTAGAAACACAACATTAATTACCTAGAAACACAACATTAATTACCCAGAAACACAACATTAATCACCCAGTGTTACAAAAAACGCGATATCTAATAATGATAGAGATCAATAAATAACAAAAAGGCACAATATCGTGACTGGAACGATACACAAATAACCCGCCCATAGAAGAGAGGAGCTTACGACGACGTTTCGGTCCGACTTTGACCATTTACAAAGTCACACTAACGAGAAGTGGAGGAGGACGGGTATATATAGGCAGGAAGAGGTAGTAGTAGTAGTAGTAGTAGTAGTAGTAGTAGTAGTAGTAGTAGTAGTGGTGTAGTAGTAGTAGTAGTGGTGGTAGTAGTAGTGGGGAATTAAGGAGGAGGAGCCAGTCAAATACAAAGAAAGGGGAGCACTGCTAGGTGCCCACAGAGGGAGAGCAAGTACACAGAGGTGGGGGGAAGGGAAGTAATGAAATAAATAATGAAGGAACAGAAACACAAGACAGAAGAGAGGCAACCCAGAAGAAGAAAAAAAAAAAATGAAGAGGAAAGGGGAAGAGGGAGAAGAAAAAAGGAGGAATCAGGTTAAGTCACGGGTGTTCTGAAGTTTGGAGCATTTTACAATGTAGTGGGAGAGGAAGGCATCTACAGAGACGAAGCCACGACAAGATTCATACAAGGAAAGTTACTGAGTTTTTGTAACAAGTAGTCAGTATCATGGTCCAATTATCCATTAGAATTTAGTAAGATTCAATAGTGCTTCGGGATTACAACTGGTAGGCTACTAACTAAAGAAATTAAAATTTAATAAGTTTATTAATAACAATAAAGTTGTCTAGGCGTATAACATCAAAGTAAATTAAAGTAATCAATTGAATATAATATAGGATACAAGTTGCTACACTTCTCTCGTGTACAGTAGTATTGTGCTGAAGGTACATATCACATCTTTATGGCTTTTAAGTACCGTCTGGTACATTGTTAACATTTAATAACATAATGTTAATATATACAAGTAAGTTTGTGTGTATGTGTGTAATTGCTCTCAGTCACTTAACCAGTGACTGACTAAAAGTCCTCACATAGACAAACTTCTTGACCAACCTGGCAATCAGAACAGCTTGCTTGAACAATAAAACGACTGATAAGCTGAACAGCAATATAGCAAGCAACAGCAACAGAATCAGGAACAAGAAGATATTATAACTACACTAAGTAGGGACTATCTGCAGATCCTCCACAAAAGTCACAAAACTCCCATACTACTGAATCTAAGTTAAATATTAGAAAATCCCCGACTGTGACAGTGCACAGATACCAGTACAAATTAGGTCAGAAGCTACAGCTCAGGACCTGAGTTGCTCAGAGTGTCTATGCGACACACAACCTCAGTACAACGTCGAAAATCACTAAGTCTAGGCCATGTTCTGTGAACAGAGTTACACAGAAACATCAAGAAAGCGTCAGAGACGATCTTCCAACAAGGGCCAGCAAGGGAGAGCTGGAGAGGGACGTCTTGTTGGAAGCAACGTCAACCAGAAAGAGACCGAGAGAAGGCCAGGAAGTCTCTCACCCAGGTGAGGTGTGATCACCCAACCCTGGTCACGTGACTCTCTGTGGACTGCTGCTGCCCAGCAACTACAGAGAAGCCAGCAGGGAAACAAGCGGAGCGGTGGTTAGACAAGGCCGACAGCTACTTAACACTCACGAACTATGAGCACTGAATAATATATAAATGTTACATCCTACCTAATAATATAACTAAGTTAAATAATAATATAAAGCAATATATTTACGATTTAGCTATTATCGCAAATACAGGCAATATACAATTATATGAGCAGGTAATACATTATATACATTGTGACCCATTCTAGGGTCGCAACACCCAGAAACACAACATTAGTCACCCAGAAACACATTAATCACCCAGACATACACAGAAACACAACATTAATCGCCAGAAACACAACATTAAATCAACCCAGAAAACAACATTAACAACCCAGAAACACAATATTAATCACCCAGAAACACAACATTAATCACCCAGAAACACAACATTAATCACCCAGAAACAACATTAACAACCCAGAAACACAACATTAATCACTCAGAAACAAATTAAAACCCAGAAACACAACATTAATAACCCAGAAACACAAACATTAATCGCCCAGAAACACAACATTAATCACCCACAAACAACATATTAACCCAGAAACACACATAATCACACAAACACACTATTAATAACCCAGAAACACAATATTAATCACCAGAAACACAAAATTAATCAACAAACACAACATTAGTCATCCCAGAAACAACCTTAATCACTCAGAAACACAAGCATTAATCAGTAGAAACACAGTAATCACCAGAAACACAGCATTAATCATACAGAAACAGCATTAATCACCCAGAAATCAGTATTAATCACCTAGAAACACAATATTAATAACCCAGAAACACAACATTAATCACCCAGAAACAACATTAATCACCCAGAAACACAACATTAATCACCCAGAAACACAACATTAATCACTCAGAAAACACAATTAATCACTCAGAAAACACAGTATTAATCACCTAAAACACGTATTAATCATCCAGAAACACGGCATTAATCGCTCAGAAAGACAGCATTAATCACCAGAAGCACAGTATTAACTACACAGAAACACAGTATTAATCACCAAAAACACAGTATTAATCACCCAGAAACACAGTATTAATCACCCAAAAACACAGTATTAATCACCCAGAAACAGATTAATCACTCAGAAACACAGCATTATTCACACAGAAAACACAGCATTAATCACCCAGAAACTCAGCATTAATCACCCAGAAACACAATATTATACCACAGAAACACACATTTAATCACCCAGAAACAAACATTAATAACACCCAGAAACAACATTAATCATCCAGAAACACAACATTAATCACGGAGAAACACAATATTAATCACTCTAAACAGAGCATTGATCACTCAGAAAATCAGTATTAATCACCTAGAAAACAGTAATCACCCAGAAACACAGCATTAATCACTCAGAAAGACAGCATTAATCACCCAGAAGCACAGTATTAACTACACAGAAACACAGTATTAATCACCAAAACACAGTATTAATCACCCAGAAACACAGTATTAATCACCCAAAGTACAACATTAATCACCCAGAAACACAACATTAATCACTCAGAAATACATCATTAATCACTAAGAAACACAGTATTAATCAACCAGAAACACAGCATTAATCACCCAGAAAGACAGCATTTATCACCCAGAAACACAGTATTAATCACTCAGAAACACAACATTAATCACACAGAAACTCAGCATTAATCACCCAGAAACACAATATTAATAACCCAGAAACACAACATTAATCACCCAGAAACACAGTATTAATCACCCAGAAACACAGCATTAATCACCCAAAAAGACAGCATTAATCACCCAGAAGCACAGTATTAGCTACACAGAAACACAGTATTAATCACCAAAAACACAGTATAAATCACCCAGAAACACAGTATTAATCACCAAAAAACACAATATTAATCACCCAGAAACACAGTATTAATCACTCAGAAACACAGCATTAATCACCCAGAAACACAGTATTAATCACCCAGAAACTCAGCATTAATCACCCAGAAACACAGCATTAATCACCCAGAAAGACAGCATTAATCACCCAGAATAACAGTATTAACTACACAGAAACACAGTATTAATCACCAAAAACACAGTATTAATCACCCAGAAACACAGTATTAATAACCCAAAAACACAGTATTAATCACCCAGAAACACAGCATTAATCACTCAGAAACAGCATTAATCACTCAGAAACACAGTATTAATCACCGAGAAACTCAGTATTAATCACCCAGAAAGACAGCATTAATCACCCAGAAAGACAGCATTAATCACCCAGAAACACAGTATTAACTAGACAGAAACACAGTATTAATCACTCAACGAATCTCAGCACGGTTTTACAAAGGGGCGTTCCTGCCTTACGAATTTATTAACTTTTTTCACTAAGGTATTTGAGGAGGTAGATCATGGTAATGAATATGATATTGTGTATATGGACTTCAGTAAGGCTTTTGACAGGGTCCCACATCAGAGACTATTGAGGAAAATTAAAGCACATGGAATAGGAGGAGAAATTTTTTCCTGGATAGAGGCATGGTTGACAAATAGGCAGCAGAGAGTTTGTATAAATGGGGAGAAATCAGAGTGGGGAAGCGTCACGAGCGGTGT